TTCTTGGGGGCGCGGCTGGAGATGCCCTAACCCCCACGCAGTGAGCAATTCCTGGCACTCCCATCGCTCCCAGTGCACCCATGTGGCACACCCCCAACGCCGACATGTGTTGCACGCCAGCGCACCACGCGGGAGCACGGGTTTGTTTTCCTTTTCTCGACACGTATTTGGGATTTTTATTCAGCTGTTGCCTAGATTTTCCTAGGTTTTGGTGGATTTTTTTTAAGAAATAGTAGAGAATTGACTTTAAATAAACTATAAGTTTTTTTTAGAAAAAAAACATGAATTTGAAAAATGCTCATGAACTTGGAAAAAATCACAAACTTGAAACATGTTCTCTGAATTGAGAAAAAGTTCATGAATTTGAAAGAAATCTTGAAGATGAAAAGTGTAAACAGCTTTAAAAAATGTCCATGAATTTGATTTTTTGGGTGAATTTGAATAAAATTCCACAATAGACAAATTCACAAAGCTAAACAGTAAGATTGGGATTTTCAGAAAGTTCGTCTTTAAAATAGGAAAAAGAAAAAGGAAACAAACAAAGACCAACCTGAAAAAGCACAGAGGAAAACCGCCCTAGAAAAACCAATGGAACCTTCCCCCAAAATCTACATGGGCCGGCCTATATAGGAACTAAACTCACCCGCCGCTTAGAATGTTGTGCTCTCGGCTCATTCTCACTCAACCTCATCTATCATGGTCGTCTGATCTGTGCAGTAAGAAATCTCGGCCACCAGGTCTGAATGAGCAGCACAAGGAGCTCCATGAAAATAATAATTACATACTCTAAGCATCTTAGAACAAGCGTCACAATAAGCAGCAAGGGGAGTCACACGGCCTCCCATTGGGTCGAAGACGAATGCTCTCCACCGCCATTGACCCAGGTCAGAAGAGCAATCAACAAAGCACATCTCTGGTTGCCACCAAAGATGTAGAGATGCGCCCACAAGGCTGCAACAAAGGCCTCCTTTTGACCCATAGAAGGGCCTGGAGCTGGAGGTTGAAGGAGTTGTGGCCGTAGAAGAAGAACCGCATTCCCGGCCCTCACAACATAAAGAGACCATGAACTACCGAACAGCAGACCAAGCCTCATCATCTTACTCTCCTTGTAACCGCCGTGCCTAGAAAACGTTGGGATGGCCATACTACGTTTTCTAGGCACCCATGCATATGTGTGATCTGTTTTAAAGATATCCATCTCTTTCAGTTAGTTTTTTCTAAAAAAAATTCTCTGGGCCTCCTCATCTCTGTCCTACTACACTGATGTCGTCATCGGCGTGGTTCCTTTCAGCTTTTTCTTCCTGTGTCTTACTACACTGACACCGGCATGACACATACTGAATTTCTCTTCCTCGTCCTCGTCCTCTACAAGAGTGCCCTCCTATTCATCCATTTTCTCTGCGGAGGCGACCGCGCCAATGACGAGACTGATATGTGCTCGTCGCGTTGGACGTGAGGCTGTGGCCACCATTCAGCGCAGTCGTCGAAGCACTCTAATGTAACTGTGTCATGTGGCTGTTAACCCCTAACCATGTCCAATGTATACAATGACAATCACACCGTGTACTTGTATCAGCCCAGCCAACCCAGGCAACCAAACGCCAGGCAAAATTTGCTCCCGCAATACATGTAACCAAACGATGTGCAAATCATGATTATTTGTCTGATGCCCAACTAGGACAAGTATGCAAGGAGCAAAAATGATGCAGGTAACTAAATATGTCCCTATTTTTTTAAAGAAAATATGGTAATTGTACCGGGCGAATGTTCGCTGTAGGGGAGATGGTAAGCGGACCATCTTTGTTGGCAGTTTTAGCTGTAAAACGAGATCAAATGATGGTAGATTTTAAACGAAGATTTGCCTTCTCGGGGAGAAATTGCCATGTCGCCTGAAGAAAGTGCCACCTCTCCCCACTCCCTCAACTAAAACTGCCACAGAATCTTGAACCAACTTGTGGTTGGTTGATTAGGAGGACAATGGTATCCTAGCAAACCAGGGTTCACGTGGTTATTCCTGGGTTTATTCCAGACTTCTGGCGATGTTCGTTCAATGAGTGGATACGTTTCCATCGACTGCGAGGCACCTATGATGACTTCGTAAAATCTCAATATGCTATGCCGACGCAGTCTCTTCGAGGTGCTCATAGAGGTACGATATACGTGGTGTGTTTATAGAGATGAGTGTATGCTCGTGTATATGAGCTTCAATTTTACTGTGTTAAAAAAACTGCCGGGCAATCATTGGCAAATGCCACTCTCTCTGGCTAAGGGGTCCAAAATAAATAATGTTATCAGCTTGGAAACATTGGCTAAGATAAGATTCTTTTTGATTGATATACATACGTGGATGGATATGGTGCTTCCCACACAAAAATCCCCCTTCCAAGAATCAGAATCCCCTAGCCCGTGCTGTGCTGCGCCGCCGCCCGCCGCCGGACGAATCGGAGCGCGGCGCCCCCGGGTAGGGAGCAAGCCTCCGACCTCCTCGACACCCGGACCTCACCTAGCCCCTGGAGCTTGTCGGCGAGCCGGGCGCTGGGCCAACCACAAGGCAGCGCCGCCGGGTTCGGCACGAGACGGCCGCCGGGCGCGGGGGCGAGCCTCTCCGACCCCATTTCCAGGTTCAGCGCCAAGGTTCTCACCGTTGGGTGCGCGAAGGTACTATCCTCTGCTTCCATTTTTCTTCAGAAGCAATCATAACCAATTATTCACTGATAAGATGCCACTGGGATCCTGATATCTTCTCATGAAATCATTTTCCCTGAAAACAAAGGGCTCTATGAACTGAATTCACAGAATAATCAAGACAGATTCAACCGTATTAACACTGGTATATGTGGTGCCTGGGAATATGGTTGGACTAGAATTTTAGTTTCACTCTTGTTGTACCTGGACCCTACGAAAGTGTGGCCATTTAATGGCATGTTCTAGCTTCGAGAGCGATGAAGTTGTAACCTTTTATTCTACTCCCTCCGTTCCGAATTACTCGTCGCAGAAATGGATGTATCTAAATGTATTTTAGTTCTAGATACATCCATTTCTGTGACGAGTAATTTAGAACGGAGGGAGTAGTTGCCATGTGATTCCAAGCCTCACACTTTTTTTTTCTTATTCACACCATGCAATTGTGCGATCTCAACTTCTACAAGCACAGTGTTGTGGAACTGTTCTGAAACCAGAGGGGGTATAGTATGCTGGGGATGGCGTGTATTGTATCTTCTTCTATAGGACCGGTTTCTGAATGTTTACAAATACAGGCAAATTACACAGTATGCTGTTCTATTTTCCGTTGAACTGAAAGTCTGAATCCACTTAATGTGCAAAGGCCTAGGACCATCAGAGAATCAGTAGTACCATCCATTCTGTTTGAACAGACACATACCCTTAAAGTTACAAACTGCTACTACCTTTTATGAGGCACCAGATATTTCATTGCTTGCGGCAGTTGTTGTGGCTCCATGGCATTCACCTCCCAGGAGTACCTTCACTCTGAATATTCTCGAATTTTTCCAGCTCAAGTGTCATGCTATTTTCTGTTTGCACATGTGTCGCGATTACTTTGTTAGATCAGAGACAGTACATTTGTCCCAGGCGTATGCTGTTCATTTGTGCGTTTAACCGAAACCAGTTAATGCAAAGTATAGAACTACAACCATCAGAGAAGTGCCAGTATAGAACTACAACCATCAGACTATCGTTGAACTGAAACCAATTAATGCAAAGTATGGAACTGCAATCATCAGAGAAGTAGTGATCAAACTGCTAGCTCTAATGAGGCACCAGCTAAGTCATTGCTTGCTGCATTGGTTGTTATTTTGCATTTATTTCCAGGAACTACCTTTGGAGATGTTCTTTACTTTACTAGCTTGGAGACCATGCTATTTGCCTATCTGTTACAGACTTACAGTCTTACAGTTACCATGTTGTTACATGATCTCCCTTCCGTTTGCATTTCTGTTTTGCTAGACCAGGATTTTGAGCTAAATGCAGCCTCTAAATGCAGGGAAACAATAGCTTGTCTGTTTTCTGTAGAACCGGGTTTTGAGTGTTTACAAATACAAGGAAATGTGCAGTATGCTGTTCTATTTTCCGTTGAACTGAGACCACTTAATGTGCAAAGGCCTAGGACCATCAGAGAAGTAGTACCATCCACTCAGTTCACAGACACATACCTGTAGGGATACAAACAGCTACTCCCTCCGTTCGGAATTACTCGTCCAAAAATGAATGTATCTAGATGTATTTTAGTTGTAGATACATCCATTTTTGTGACAAGTAATTCCGAACGGAGGGAGTAGGTGCTATGAGGCACCACGTATTTCATTGCTTGCTGCAGTTGTTGTGGTTCCGTGGGATTAATGTCCCAGGAGTATGTTCACTATGAATATTCTCGATTTTTACTAGCTCAGGTGTCATGCTATTCGCTATTTGCCTATGTGTCACAGTTCCTCTGTTACATCAGAGAAGGTACATGTGTCCCAGGAGTATGCTGTTCGTTTGTATGTTGAACCATCAGAGAACTAGACAGGTGTCGGTATCATCGTTCTGTTCACATGCCTGTAGGGATACAAACTGCTAGCTGTAGTGAGGCACCAGGTAAGGCATTGCTTGCTGCACTGGTTGTTATGTGGCATTTACGCCCAGGAACTACCTTCGGAGATGTTCTGAAATTTACTAGCTCGGGCACCATGATATTTTCCTATGTGTTACAATACCATGTTACATATGATTCCCCTTTCATTTGCAGTTCTACTTTGCTGGATAACCCAGGGTTTTGAGCTGAATGCAGCCTTTTAATCCACAGGCAGTAAATCTGCTACATTCAGAGTGTTGCTATTAATGCATCATTTACAGTAACATCCTGGTAATCTTACTTTGAGTACATATGTTTTGCAGACCCAGGCGATCAAGATATGCAATAGAGTATTCCAGTGGATCAGGGATCTCACACCACCATTTTCTTCTCCGCCTTGGACTGCAGTTGTGTGCTGCGAGCTCCGATGGCAGAGCTCGTGGCCACCATGGTGGTCGGGCCATTGCTCTCAGTCGTGAAGGACAAGGTGTCCAGCTACCTGCTTGACCAGTACAAGGTGATGGAGGGCATGGAGGAGCAGCACAGAGTGCTCAAGCGCAAGCTGCCGGCGATCCTGGACGTCATTGATGACGCCGAGCAGACCGCGTCCCACAGAGCAGGGGCCAAGGCTTGGCTCGAGGAGGTCAAGAGGGTGGCCTACGAGGCTAACGGGCTCTTCGACGAGTTCAACTACGAGGCGCTCCGCCGCAGGGCTAGGAAGAACGGGCACTATGGCGAGCTCGGCTTCAATGCAGTAAAGCTCCTCACCACCCACAACCGTTTTAAGTTCCGCGACAGGATGGGGAAGAAGCTGTGCAGGATTGTGCAGGCCATCGAAGTCCTTGTGGCTGAGATGAACGCCTTTGGGTTTAAGTATCAGCAGCAAGCACCAGAGTCCATGCGGTGGAGGCAGATGGACCATGTTATCTTCGATCCGAAGAAAATCATCAGCAGATCGAGAAGCCGAGATACTAAGAATATTGTTGGTACATTACTTGGTCAAGCCAACAATGCGGATCTCTCGGTCGTTCCCATCGTTGGAGTAGGGGGCCTAGGCAAGACCACCTTGGCGCAGCTAATTTACAATGAACCTGAAATCAGAAGCATTTCAAGTTGCTGATCTGGGTTTGTGTCTCTGACAGCTTTGATGTGGATTCCCTGGCTAAAAGAATAGTTGCATTTCATCTAGAAAAAGATGTAGTTGAAGCAGCAGCTTCCAAGAAAAGCCCACTGGATAGTCTTCAAGACGTACTAAGCGGGCATAGGTACCTCCTTGTATTGGATGACGTCTGGAACCGAGAAAGTGATAAGTGGGAAAAGCTCAAGGACCGCCTTACACATGGTGCCAATGGCAGTGTGGTTCTGACAACTACTCGTGATGAAGGAGTCGCAAAAATAATGGGTACAGTTAAACCCTATAATCTCGCAGCTTTGGAGGATAACTTCATAAAGCAAATTATCGAGACAAGAGCATTCAGTTTGCAGAAGGAAGAAGAAAGGCCTGCTGTGCTAGTTAATATGGTTGATGAGATTGTGAAGAGATGTCGTGGCTCTCCTTTGGCCGCAACAGCGCTGGGCTCTGTGCTGCGTACAAAGACCAGTGAAGAAGAATGGAAGGCTATATCAAGCAGAAGCAACATTTGCACCGAGGAGTCTGGAATTTTACCAATACTCAAGCTCAGCTACAATGACTTGTCATCACAGATGAAGCAGTGCTTTGCTTTCTGTGCTGTTTTCCCCAAGGATTACGAGATTGATGTAGACAAACTGATCCAACTATGGATCGCACATGGCTTCATCCAGGACCACAGAGAAGCTAGTCCTGAAACCATTGGCAACCGGATTTTCAGCGAGTTGGCCTCAAGTTCATTCCTTGTGGACGTGAAGCAAGGAAAAGCCACATCCTATGAACGCATGGTGGGGGGTAGTTATTACAAATGTACATGTAAAATCCATGATCTTATGCATGATGTTGCGCTGTCTACAATGGAGAATGAATGTGGTTTTGCACCCGAGGAACCAAATCGGATTGAGTGGCTTCCAGATACAGCTCGCCACTTACTTTTGTCTTGTGAAAAACCAGAAATTGTTTTGAATGGTTCTCTGGCAAGAAAATCTCCAGCTATTCAGACACTCCTGTGTGATAGTTATATGGAATACCCACTGCAGCATTTATCAAAATATAGCACTTTGAAGGCATTACAGCTCCATACGCGGAGAAGTCCATTCCCCTTCAAATCAAAGCATCTTCATCACCTAAGGTACCTTGATCTCTCAAGAAGTGATTTTGAAGCACTTCCTGAAGATATAAGCATTCTATATAACCTGCAAACATTGAAAATCTCTGGCTGTCAAGAACTGCGTCGGCTTCCAAGACAAATGAAGTATATGACTGCCCTCCGTCACCTCTACAGTCATGGTTGTCCAAAGATGAGCAGCATGCCTGGTGACCTCCGGAAACTCATGTCCCTTCAGACGCTTACGTGTTTTGTAGCTGGCCGTACTAGCTCTGAGTGCAGCAATGTTGGAGAGTTGCAGCATTTAAATCTTGGTGGTCAGCTAGAGCTAAATCAGCTAGAGAATGTGACAGAAGAAGATGCAAAAGCAGCAAATCTCGGAAAGAAGAAGGAACTCCGAGAACTGACATTAAAATGGACTATTGGTTCTAGGGATGATGCAAGGGTGCTTGAGTGTTTCAAGCCTCATGATGGCCTGCAGTCTCTAAGGATAGAATCCTACGGAGGCACCACATTTCCAACATGGATGACTATGTCGCGAAACATGGTTGAAATCCATCTTTCCTATTGTAAAAACCTAATTTCCAGCCTCTCCCCTCTTCTTCCTGGTAGCTGGTGCCGCCTGCTGGTCCAGGCCGCCGCCGTTCCAGGCCGCTGCTGCCGCCGTCCTTCCCGGCCGGCGCCGCCGCCTCAACGTGCTGCTGCTGCTCTTCAACGAGCTGCTGCTGCTGCTCCTCCTCTTCTCTGCTGCTGCTGCTGCTCTTCTTCAACGAGCTGCTGCTGCTGCTCTTCTTCAACGAGCTGCTGCTGCCATCAAGCTGTGCCTCCTGCTGCTGCTGGTCTTCAACGAGCTGCTGTTGCTGCTCTGCTGCAATGGCGCCCTCCACCACCACCGGTGCTGTCCCAGTCCCACGATGTCCTGTTATCTTCAACGGACAGAACTACAGGGACTGGGTGCAGCACATGAAGCTGCACATGAGGGGCCAGCTGGTCTGGGAGCACCTCTCTGGTGCTCTGCCTTGTCCCATGCTGCCCACTCCTCCAGCTGAGTTGGCCTTCCCTGTTGATGCCGATGAAACCAAGCAACGTGAGATGCTAGATGCTTTTGAAGAGGCCACTGAAGAGTATCAGAATCAACTCCACTTATACAAGCAATGGACAAATGATGATGCTCGAGCCTCTTCTATCTTGGTGAACAGCATGGATGTTGATCTCACCATGGATGTGGTGGCCCTTACCACTGCATATCAGATGTGGGAGCACCTTCGCCATCGCTATGAGTCTACAGGGGATGCCATGTATCTCTCTGTTGTTCGTCAAGAGCAACAACTACAACAGGGAGATGCTACTGTGGATGATTTCTACAAGGAGATGTCGGCGGTGTGGCGCCAATTGGACTCTCTGGGAGCTGATGTTTGTCGCAGATGTCAGTGTTGTGTGCGGCAACAAGCTAAGCTGGAGGTTCGTCGCCTCTACGACTTCCTCACTCGCCTCCGGCCGGAGTTCGAGCAGAGTCGTGCTCAGCTATTGGCACGCCATCCTCGGCTCTCTACTCTGGAGGCCCTTGCTGAGGTGCGATCTGAGGAGGTGCGCCTACGGAGCACGGGCTTATTGCCATCCTCTTCAGCAGTCCTGGCTGCCCGCGTTCCACCACCGCTGCCTGGTGTGCCCTCTTCTACACAGGTGGCAGCAACCTCCACTAGTGCTTTCTGCAACTACTGCAAGCAGGATGGTCACATGATCACGGAGTGCATCAAGAGGAGGAAACAGGGTCGTCGTGGTGGCCGTCCTCAAAAGGACTCGGGAGGCTCCTCTAATTCTCATGAGGGCTCCCTTGAGAAGGTTCACCAGGAGATGCTCACCTTGCTGCGCCGCCTTACTGCTTCTGCACCATCCTCAGGTTCTGCTGGTTCTGCTGGTCAGACATCTGGTCCACCACCGCACTCTTCGTCAGGTACATCTTTGCCCTGGATTCTTGATTCTGGGGCCTCCTTCCACATGACACCACACAGAGATCATCTTTGTGCTGTCAATTCCGTGCCTTCTCCTCTTACAGTTCAGACTGCAGATGGCACTTCTCTTTCTGTTGCCGCAAGAGGGACTCTTTCCACGTCTTCTTTTCATGTCCCTGCCATTTCTCATGTTCCTAAACTAACTATGCAACTTCTATCTGCTGGTCAACTTACTGACTTGGGTTGTCGTGTTATTCTGGATTCTGACTCTTGTTGTGTTCAGGATCGTCGTACGGGGACTCTGGTTGGGATCGGTCCTCGGCGCCATGACTCTCAGCGCCTTTGGGAGCTTGATTGGCTGCGCCTTCCTTCCGCTGCGTCCTCTAGCCAGTCGGACATCACCACCCCTTTTGCTTCAGCTGCCACCTCCACCACATCCTTCGCTCAGTGGCATCATCGATTGGGTCACATTTGTGGCTCCCGCTTGTCTTCTTTGGTTAGGAGTGGTGTTCTAGGGTCTGTATCTGGTGATAGTTCACTAACTTGTATGGGTTGTAAGCTTGGCAAGCAGATACAACTTCCATATCCTTCTAGTAATTCTGTTTCTCAACGACCTTTTGAACTTGTTCACTCTGATGTATGGGGTCCTGCCCCCTTTGTTTCGAAAGGGGGTCACAAATATTATATAATTTTCATTGATGATTTTTCTCGCCATACTTGGATCTACTTTATGTCATCTCGTAGTCAAGTGCTTCAAATTTACAAGTCGTTTGCTACCATGGTTCGCACTCAGTATGATTCCTCTGTTCGAGTTTTTCGTGCTGATTCGGCTGGCGAGTACTTATCTCGTGCACTTCGTGGTTTCCTTGCTGAACAGGGTACCCTTCCTCAGTATTCCTGTCCTGGTGCACACGCTCAAAATGGGGTGGCTGAACGCAAACATCGTCACGTCCTTGAGACTGCTCGGGCTCTTCTTTTATCTTCTGCTGTTCCCCCGCACTTTTGGGCTGAGGCTGTCTCTACCGCTGTTTATCTCATTAATATTCAGCCTTCTGTTGCTCTTCAGGGAGGGATACCAGTTGATCATCTAGGTGATGGTCCAGCTGATTATAGTGGTCTACGCCTGTTTGGTTGTGCCTGTTTTGTTCTTCTCCACCCTCATGAACGCACCAAATTGACTGCTCAATCTGTTGAATGTGTTTTCCTTGGCTACAGTTTGGAGCACAAAGGTTACCGTTGCTGGGACCCTATTGCTCGAAGACTGAGAATCTCCAAAGATGTCACTTTTGATGAGTCTCGCTCCTTCTACCCTCGTCATTCTTCTACTGCCACAACCGAGTCGTTAGTCGAGCCTCTCTCTTTTTTGACTCTACCTGATTCTTCACCTTTATCGTCACCTGGTAGGTCCACTCCTAGCCTTTCAGCTGTGTCTGCTCATGAGCTTCAGCTTACATAGGATGAGCTTTCTATTCCTGACTCTCCTACTCGGGTTGAGCCATCCACTCTCTCTCCTTTTCCTTTTACCTACTCCCGTCGTGCTCAACACCCTTCTCCCTCTGATGCGCCACCTTCCACTTCCCCTCTCTCTCCGCTTCCTTTTGTCTACTCCCGTCGTGCTCGGCACCCTTCTCCCTCGGATGCGCCCACTTCCACTTCCACTCCTTCCCTGTTGGGTCCCATTCCTTCAAAACCACCTACCCCTCCTGCTCCTCGGTATAATCTGCGTGATCGCCACACTCTCCAGCCTCCTGCGTACTATGTTGCTGCTGCTACCACTCTTGTTGAGCCGTCTACGTATTGTGAGGCTGCTGCTCATTCAATGGCAGCATGCTATGGCAGAGGAAATTCATGCTCTTGAGCGCACATGCACTTGGGACCTTGTACCCCTGCCTACAGGCGTTAGACCCATCACTTGCAAATGGGTCTACAAG